CTCCCACTCCTGGGCTCAAGCAAGTCTCCTGCCTCAGCCTCCCAAGTAGCTGGGACCACAGGTGCCCGCCACAATATCCGGCTATTTTTTGGTTGCAGCCATCATTGTTGTTTGGTGGGCCCGGGCTGGATTCGAACCTGCCACCTTGGGTGTACGTGGCTGGCGCCTTAGCCACTTGAGCCACAGGTGCCAAGCCAAATTAATACTATTAAGTGAAAAAATACGTAGCACATAATTCTATTATTTATTTATTTATTTAGAGACAGAGTCTCACTATGTCTTCCTTGGTAGAGTGCCATGTCACAGCTCATAGCCACCTCCAACTGTTGGGCTTAGGCGATTCTTGCCTCGGCCTCCTAAGTACCTAGGACTACAGGTACCTGCCACAACGCCTGGCTATTTTTTTTTGTTGTAGTTGTTTAGTTGGCTGGGTCTGGGTTCAAACCCACCACCCTTGTGTATGTGGCTGGCACTGTAACCACTGTGCTTCGGGCACTGAGCCTTTATTTTATTTTTTTAAAAGGTGGTACTTTGGGCCAAGTTTGGTAGCTCATGCCTCTAATCCTAGCACTCTGGGAGGCTGAGGCAGGTGGACTGCCTGAGTTCATGGGTTTGAGATCAGCCGAAGCCAGAGTGAGACCCTGTCCCTAAAACTATCTGGGCATTATGGCGGGTACCTGTAGTTCCAGGTACTTAGGGGACTGAGGCAAGAGAATCACTTGAGTCCAAGAGTTGGAGGTTGCTGTGAGCTAGGAGGCCACAGCAGTCTACCAAGGGTGATAAAGTGAGACTCTGTCTTAAAAAAACAAGGTAGTACTTTATTTATATACATATAGCAAAAGGTATAGAAAGAGTTAAACCAGGCTGTTAATACTATTTACCTAAGGAAGGAAAGAAGCATTGGAAAGATACAAGAGACAATGAACTTTTCTGTTTTTTGTTTTTTTTTTTTAACAAGGTCTCCCCTCTGTTGCTTGGGCTAGAGTGTAGTGGCATCATCATAGCTCAGTGCAACCCCAATTGCGTGGGTTCAAGTGATCCCCTGCCTCAGCCTCCTGAGTAGATGGAACTACAAGCACGCACTACCACTCTCAGCTAATTTTTCTGTTTTTTGTAGGTCTCACTCTTGCTCAGGCTGGTGGTGAACTCCCGGCATCAAGAGATCCTCCCACTTCAACCTCCCAAAGTGCTAGGATTACAAGTGTGAGCCACCGCACCTAGTCTTAATTGTTTATCTCTTACAATACACTTGATCTTAGCCAAAAAGCCAAGAACTGATATCTTTTTACAATAAATAATGTATTGTATTTGAAAAAAATAACTTCAAAACAAAACAAACCAAAACCCCAAAGGCACTATACCCTTAACTCCCTCTAAAGCATAGTTAGAGAAATGAGAGTTCCAGGGAAACCTCCTCTCCTGTCTTCCCATCGTTTATAACCTCAGTCAAGTAGCATGATGACTCACCAATAATAAGTCTACTTTTCAGCGTGGTGCCCATAGCTCAGTGGTTAGGGTGCCAGCAACATACACAGGGGCTGGTAGGTTCAAACCCAACCTGGGCCTGCTTAAAAAAAAAAAAAACCCCAAAACAAAAACAATGACAACTACAACAAAAAAATAGCTGGGCGTTGTGGTGGGTGCTGTGGGAGGTGCCTGTAGTCCCAGCTACTTGGGAGGCTGAGGCAAAGAGAATCACGTAAGTCCAAGAGTTTGAGGTTGCTATGAGCTATGACGATATAGCACTCACTCTACCGAGGGAAACATAGGGAGGCACTGCCTAAAAAAAAAAAAAATTTTACTCTTCAGCAAGAAAAGAGATGGCTAAGAAAATTATCCCAGTATTACCAGGGCATTGCGTAAGGCCTGAGCATCCCGGGAGTGTTAGGAAATGAAGTGCTGTGGTTATCCAACAAAGCCTGAATGCTTACCTATCAGGGCATAGGAGAGGAACTTGTTAACAGAGGTAAGTGCCAGTCCAGTGATGGGACCAGTGGTATCTTCAGAGCGAATGACTTCCAGAAATGGCCTAAGGAACACATTGGGCTCAATTTCTGAGAGTTCTGCAAGAAAAGAAACAGAAATGAAGAGATACCATAATGAAAAGTTAAACCCTGGAGAGGCCATTCTTGTTTGTGTGACAAAGCTGTAAGTCTTCGTTGCTAGGTCAATCTTCTTTCCTCTGGAAAGATTTGAATTAAATCCCAGACATTGTACCATTTTATCTGTAAAATTTGTAGTATATACTCTAAAAGATTAAGAATTTTTTGTAAAAAGGGCACAATATCATTATTATGCTTAAAAAGTTAACAATAAAATGGTTAAAATAGTAAATTTTGGACTGGTCTGAGTGCCTGTGGTGTTTACAACTAACTGATCACAATTAGTTACAGATTACTTTCTCCCTTCTCCATTTCCACTGTTTCACTTGACTAACCTAAGGAAAAAATAAAATAAAAAATGGTAAATTGTTATGTAATTTTATCATAATTTTTAAAATAAGCAATAATTATTTAATATCATCAAATATTATGAATCAAATTTCCATGCCCATTTCACCACCCTCCCCAGTGATATACACAGATAAACTATCTTGGTTATAGCCAACATGACCCTTAGATCCCTGGGTGGGCTCCTGTCTTTGTCCTTTGCTGTTTTGATCAAGGTCACTTCTCTTAGAGAAAGAAGTGCAGCAGGTCCCAGAAGAGTTAGAGGAAACCTTGAAGTTTATAGTTCCTTGATGAAAAATAACCTTAAAAAGGACAAAAGGATTGGCAGTCTCCTAGTCATGGATACAGTCTAATCTTGGAAAGTATTAACCACTCTCTAGCCTCTTTCCTGCCTAGAGTAAGCAGGGAGTTAACTACCCTGAGATGAAGGGGCAATTCATAATCCTCATTTTACAGATGAGAAAAATACAGCTCAGATAATATACATGACTGGTACCAAAGTCACACAACTAATATGCAAAGCTGGGATTTGAAACCAGTTTATAGGGTTCCAATACTTGTAAAACTCCTACATCTATTCTACCTAATTACCAAGACATAATCCTAAATATAGATTTCATTCCAGGTCAAAGAAACCACACCACACTGGTCTTGCTCTCTTCTTTACTATACTGCTCAAGGTTTAATTTGCTTTTCTAGATTCTGCTATGCTTTCATCTTTCAGAGTCCCATTCCATAAACGCTTCCTAAACAGCCCAGAAACATTTATGGAGGTGATCTAGGCTGCCCCTCCTTTAGAAACAAAAGGAAGCTGGGTCTCCCAAGTACCTTCATTTTCATGCAAATGTGGATAGCTGCCTACTCAATTCCAACTACCCCTCTCTCTGGGTAAACATTCCCTGGGACCGGCTGCTCCACGGATTAATGCTTTAATTAATTGGCAGATTGGGTAGCATTTTCTAAGCTTGTCTGTACAGTGATCACATCAGCTATAAAAAACCTGCTTCTCATTCCTTACTGCCTCCACCTAGAGATGTACAATTTGCAGAGAAAAATCTAGAGAAAATTCTGTGTGTGTGTGTGTTTCTAATGGTGGAGGCTGACATGAAAGGAATATAACACATTTGGAAAAACTAAAATATATAATGGTATAATGTACTTTTTTTTTTTTTTTTGAGACAGAATCTCACTATGTTGCTCTGGGTAGAGTGCTGTGCCATCACAGCTCACAGTAACCTCAAACTCTGCAGGCATACTCCAACTACAGCCTGTGGGCCACATGAGGCCCGCCAAGGACATTTATCCTGCCCACCAGGTGTTTTTGCTGCCACTGCCTGTCCTGCTTAACAGCTGACTCATCCCGGGGCCTGCAGTCTGGCCCTCCAGTGGTCTGAGGGACAGTGAACTGGCCCCCTGTTTAAAAAGTTTGAGGACCCCTGTTCTAGGGCTTAAGCGATTCTCTTGCCTCAGCCTCCCAAGTAGCAGGGACTACAGGCACCTGCCACAAGGCCTAGCTATTATTTTTGTTGTTGTTGTCATTGCTGTTTGGCAGGCCCAGGCTGGGTTCGAACCTACTAGCTCCAGTGTATGTGGCCAGCACCCTAGATGCTTAGCTACAAGCACCAAGCCGATATAATGTACTTTTTAAAAGGACATTAAACATTTTAAGTCATTGCTTTAGAAACACAAATGCACATGACAATTTAGTCTGTCATTTAAAAATGGTTGTTTGGTATATTTGAGGTATAAAGGTCTAAATGGAAAAAAAAAATCTCCAAGAGTTGGTATAGGAGGCCTGCGTGGTGGCTCATGCCTGTAATTCTAGCGCTCTGGGAGGGTGAGGCAGGAGGATCAGATCACCTGAGCTCAGGAATTTGAGGTTACTGTGAGCTAGGCTGACTCCTTCACACTCTAAAAGAAAACTGGCAACATATTTTCTTTTCTTTTTTTTTGAGACAGAGTCTCATTTTGTCACCCTTGGTAGAGTGCCATAGCTTCACAGCTCACAGCAACCTCCAACCCTTGGGCTCCAGCTATCCTCTTGCCTCAGCCTCCTGAGTAGCTCGGACTACAGGCGCCCGCCAAACGCCCATTCTTTTGGTTGCAGTTGTCATTGCTGTCCTAGCTGGCCAGGGCTGGGTTCAAACCTGCCACTCTTGGTATATATGGGGTCGGTGCCCTCTCCACTGAGCCACAGGCACCGCCCAACATATTTTGTATGTTTCCATCTAGTTGTTACAACTGTACTTGCTTTATGTCTTCCTTTGTGGTAATACACTAGGGTAATTTTATAGCTGGGGTCCACATTTCCTAGGCCATGTGCACTCAGCCTCTATTGTTTGTTTAATTGTAAATTTGGTAAAACCAACTCTTTTTTAAAAAATTACTGCTTCATATGGTGGTGCCCGTAGCTCAGTGGGCACTAAGGTTGGTGGGTTCAAACCCAGCCCAGCCCAGATAAAATCAACAATGACAACTGCAACAAAAAATAGCCTGCCGTTGTGGCGAGCGCCCTAGTCCCAGCTACTCGGGAGGCTGAGGCAAGAGAATGGCTTAAGCCCAAGAGTTTGAGATTGCTGTAAGCTGTGTGACACCACAGCACTCTACAGAGGGTGAAATAGACTTTGTCTCAAAAAAAAAAAAAATTCCTGATTCATATAGTATATGAGATTGGCTTCTTCCATTTAACATGATGGCTTTGAGATTTATTCAAGCTGTTGCATATATCAATAGTTTGGTCCTTTTTACAGCTGAGTAATATTCATTCACTGATTAAGGACATTTGGGTTCCCAGCTTGGGGGCAATTATGAATAGACCTCCTAAAATAAATCCAAAAAATATGAAAAGACAAAATTAATAGAGCTGCTATATTTATTTATTTTTACTTTTTTTGCAGTTTTGACAGGGGCCAGGCTTGATACATGAGGCCGGCACCCTACTCCTTGAGTCACAGGCGCTGCCCTATTTATTTATTTTTGAGACAGAGTCTCACTTTGTCACCTTCAGCATGGTGCCATGGTGTCACAGCTTCCAGCAACCTCAAATTCTTGGGCTCAAGCAATCCTCTTACCTCGGCCTCCCAAACTACTGGACTACAGGTGCCCGCCACAATACCCTTTTAGAGACGGGGTCTTACTCTTGCTCAAGCTAGTCTCAAACTTCTAAACTCAAGCAATCCATCTGCCTCAGCTTCCCAGAGTGCTAGGATTATAGGCGTGAGCCACCACACCTAGCCCAATAGAGCTGCTATAAACATTTGTGCACCTGTTTTGTTTTGTTTTTTTGAGACAGAGCCTCAAACTATCACCCTGGGTAGAGTGCCATGGTATCACAGCTCACAGCAACCTCCAACTCTTAAGCTTAAGCAATTCTCTTGCCTCACCCTCCTAAGTAGCTGGGACTACAGGCACCCACCACAACGCCTGGCTAGTTTTTGGTTGTAGTTTTCATTGTTGTTTGGCAGGCCTGGGCTGGATTTGAACCTGACAACTCAGGTGTATGTGGTTGGTGCCTTAGCTGCTTGAGCTACAGGCACCGAGCCTGTGCACTAGTTTTTGTGTGAACTTAGTTTTTCATTTCTAAAGTACCTAGGAGTAGGGTTTCTGGGTCAAAGGGTAAATATGTGTTTAGCTCTATTGCCAAACTGTCTTCCAGCTCACTATTTGCCCAGCAGCAATGAGATTTTAGTGTCTCCACATCCTCTCCGGTACTTGTTATTTTCAGTATTAGGTAGTGGTAACTCCATGTGGTTTAAATGTGTATTTTTCTAACTAATGACATTGAACATCTTTTCATGTGTTCATTTGCCATCCATATATCTTTTGGGGTGACATGTCTACTGAAATATTTTGTCTACTTTTTATTTTTATTTTTTTTGAGACAGAGTCTCAAAAGCTATCACCCTGGGTAGAATGCTGTGGTGTCACAGCTCACAGCAACCTCAAAACTCTTAGGCTTAAGTTTCTCTTGCCTCAGCCTCCCAAGTAGCTGGGACTACAGGCACTTGCCACAACACCCAGCTATTTTTTGGTTATAGTTGTCATTGTTGTTTGGCAGGCCTGGGCTGGATTCGAACCTGCCAGCTTTGGTATATGTGGCTGGTGCCCTAGCCACTGAGCTACAGGCACTGAGCCCACTTTTGATTTTTTAATTAATTTTTTTTAGAGATGGGGTCATGTGCGGTCACCTAGTAGAGTACAGTGGCCCTATCACAGCTTGCTGTAATCTTGAATTTCTGGGCTCAAGTGATCGTCCTGCCTCAGCCTCTGAAGTATTTGGGACTACATACCTACACTACTATATCCAGCTAATTTTTTTTTTTTTTAAAGATGGGGCCTCCTGATGTTGTCCAGGTTGGTCTCAAACTCCTGGACTCAAGCAATTCTCCATCTTTGGCCTTCCAAAGCACCAGAATTAAAAGCATGAGCCATCACACCTGGTCCTTTTCAGTCTACTTTGAAAATGAATTATTTTTACTGTTGAGTTTAGAGATGTTTTTATTCTGGATTCAAGTTTTTACTGGTGATACAATTATTATTATTTTTTTTTGAGACAGAGCCTCAAGTTGTCCCCCTGGGTAGAGTACCATGGCATCACAGCTCACAGCAACCTC